GCTGCTTTGGATGCAGCCGCGGGAGCAATCTCACCTGCGGCTCTCATCCGTTCTGTCCTTTTCCTCCTTCCTTTCCCCACCCTTCCCCGCTCAGCTCCCGTGTATCCAGGTCCTTCTGTGGCACCGTAACCCGGAGCCGGGAGCTCCCGGTTCACCTCTTGCTGAGCCGAGCTGAGCCGGGGAGATAATGGAGCTCAGGGCGGTGGTGGCCACACTGGAGAGCGGGGAGCAGGACACCGTGCTCAAGGTGCTTCAGATCTACAACCAGGAGGTGAGTGAGGTCCCAGCCCTCCCGCGGGAGCAGCCAGGCCGCGCTGCGGGACTCCTGTGCCACCGGCTGGGCCCCCCCGCCCCCCCTCTGCGTGTTACTGCCAGGAGCATGGATGGGTGCTTTGGTTTTACCTGCAGCTGGGGTGTTGTCTGGTGTTCTGCTGGGAAGCAGCTGAGCAGCCTCTCTGTATCCTAGTTCCTTTGTGTACTGCAAGTAAAGCGTGGAGAAGGGAGAAGGGATTATTTCTGTAATTATTATTATTGAGCTATCGAGTAAAACCTGGAGGGAAGTCTGGGTGCAGACCGAGCAGGAGGAGCTTTTATGTTAAGGCAAGGTTTGGAGGTGAGGAAACGGGCCTGGGGAGGAGCTGCAGGTGAAATGGTGGTTGTGATTTGCAAGTAAAAGGTCGCTGGAGGACAGGGATGGGGCTGCTGGAGCCGGGTGAAGGTGCCTGCTCTGAGCTGGGGTGAGAAGTCAATAATGAAGAGAGAATATGAAACCGGGAAGCTGTGGCTGCCCCATCCCTGGCAGTGCTCAAGGCCAGGTTGGGCACAGGGGCTTGGAGCAACCTGCTCTAGTGGAAGGGGTCCGGAACTGGATGGGATTTAAGGTCCCTTCAACACAAACCATCTGCGGTTCTATGAATGGTTGGGGAGCAGATGGGGAAGCGTTTGGAGCTTTAAAGTGGCACAAGATGATCTGTGGGGGTAAATCCTGTCAGAAATAGACTCTGGTTGTCAGGGAAATCTCCCTCAGGGTTCCCACAGGGTCGGGGTGTCCTGCGGAGCTCCGTGGCTCACCCTGCACCAGCCCTGAGCAGGAGGGGAGCCAGCGGGGAGAGCCCGGGAGCATTTTACACGGGAGTGCAAGAGGAGAGGGCAGCTCCTTCCAGCTTTGCTTTGAAACAGGGGAGATGTGGCTAAGAAGGAGCAGGTCCCTCCTGGACATTGCTCCACAGGAGCAATGTCACCTCCTCCAGGTGTACCGCTGGAGGAGCTGGGAGTGCAGCCAGAGTCCTGTGTGTAACCAGCCTGAGGCACCAGACGCAGGGGTTCCTGTTGTGCTTTGCTGGTGCCTGCAGTGTAGGAACCCTGTGAGGGCGGCAGTGCTTCTGTGGCCTGTCTGCAGCAATCGGAGCGCTGGGGAAGCTGCAGGTGAACTGAGCAACTTCCTTGTCTCATTTTTACTGTAGAAGTTGATGGTGCTGCATCCTCTTTGTGGGATATGTTTGAATTCACTGTTGCAGACTCAGTCAGTCTTTGACTGCCAGGAGTAGACTACAGCTAAAGCAAAACCACAGGTATGGAAACCAGACACGAATGAGACTACAGGAGCGTGCCAGGAGGATGTGGTGGGAGAGCACAAGTGCCCTGGTTGTCTGCAGAGCACATCAGCTCCAGGGCTGGACCCTCAGTTCCTCATAGCGGAGGGCAGCATGAGAGGGCACCCCTGTGAAGGCTGGAGGCTTTGCAGGCAGCCTCTTGGTGTTCTGTTGTCCACCACGGCTTGTTCTAGGCTGGCAAGACCAAAGCCATCCCTGGGACCTGGGTGCTGGGACCCGGTTAAGCTGCACACTGGATCTTCTGCTTTTAAGCAGCCAGGAGGTGGCAGCATGTTAAAAAGGTGGCAGGAGGGACTGCACTGGTGGAACGGGCAAGTCGGGGAACACCCGTGATCTCCAAAGCCCAGTGCAGCCAGTCGCGGGCTGGAGGAGGGCAATTGGGCAGCTCATGACGTGGTAAATGCAGAGGGAGACGAGCTCAGCCCTTGAGACCCTGGATGGGATACCCGGGAACTGCTGTCCCTCGAGAGAGGATCAATCCGGAGTGTGAGGATGGCTGGTTGTGGTGATCCCCACTCCTGAGCGGCTCCGTGGGGGGAGCGGTGTCAGTCACAGGTGTCAGCTGGTCAAGGGAAGGGATGTGCTGGAGGTGGAGAGATCCTGTCCCTTATGCTTAAAGAATGTGACCTGAATCAGCACAAGGGTCTGTTGGCAGGTAACAAGAAATGCTTTCTGTTGGTCAGGAGAAGGAACAGTAAATGTCCAGGGGAGAAATGTGTAGGCACATCTCGGTGGTGCCACTGAGCAGAGAACTGCGGCTATTATGGGATAAGAAGCTCTTCCCTGTGAGGGTGCTGAGGCGCTGGCACAGGGTGCCCAGAGAAGCTGTGGCTGCTTCATCCCTGGCAGTGTTCAAGGCCAGGTTGGACACAGGGGCTTGGAGCAACCTGCTCTAGTGGAAGGTGTCCCTGCCCGGGGCAGTGATTGGAGCTGGATGGGATTTAAGGTCCCTTCAACTCAAACCCCTCTGGGACTCTGATTTCTGAATCCTGTTTCCTCCGATGCCTGAGCCTTTTGGTTCTCTTCTGTTTCACAGACAGAGGTTCTGTGAGCACTGATTCCCTGCCTCTGCTGGGGCTGCTCTTGAGCAGGGTGCTCGCTTTGGGCAGTTTGGTTTCAGACCTGCTGCTTCCAGCTGAGTGGCCTTTCCCTGCCTGGGTTTGTGTGTTTTTAACCTATTGCTTATTTTCCTTGTTTTTGTTCTTCCCCACAGAAATCTCAGTGCTTCACCTTTGACGATGAGGAACGGGAAGAGAGGAAGGTGGGCACAGGCTTTGCTGTCTTCCTGTGGCTGGGCATGTAAATGTGCTGCTGTTGGTACTCCTGTGCAGCAGGTTTGGTGCTGGCAGCTCCCACAGGGAAAGAAAGGAGTGTTTTCATTAACTTGGTGAGGCAGTGGTGTGCTCAGAGCATCTGCCTGGCTGTTTCCATCAGGAGGTGGTGGTTCAGGATGAAGGTCAGCGTCCTTCCAGGATCAGCAAGCCCTCTGGGTCATGCAGTGTGTGTAGTCACAGTGTGTGTGTGTACAAGGTGTGATCCTCCGTGCATGGCTCTGCCAGACAGAGGCCCCAGCAGCGTGCAGGGCTCCAGAGGGGTTGCTGTGAGGCAGCTGCAGGTGTTGGCTGAGGTTCTATATTAGCAGATGCTTTGAGCTGCTGTAATCTGGCCCTCAGTGGAAGGAAACTCCTGCCTGTTCATTTCTGCTCTTTCATGCCAGGGCAGATGTGTGCATGGCTGCACGTGGCTGAGGGGCTCATCCGCCTCGAGAATATGTTAGTTTCTTTCCCCTGATTATTTTCCATCTGGTCCAGTCGGTTGGTTGGTTGTGCCAGTGCCTCTGTTAGCACAGCAAGTGTGGACCATGCAGCCAGGGCAGAGCACGGGACCTCTCTATCTGTCGGCTAATGCCAGCATGGAGCTTCTCCAGGTACAGCCAGATGCACAGGACTGGATCTCCCAGGATCTGAGCTCTCTGCCCTGCTTGTCTGGCTGTTCGGGCTGGGACAGTCACACAGGCTGTGAGTCCAGGCACAGCCTTGGGGTGCTCCACTTCTGGGGTGTATGTCATGAACTACAGATTGAGCATCACCACCTAGCTCCTGGTGCTCAGTTCTTGGGAAGGTTTAGCCCTGGGAACACTCTCCAAGATCTTTTTAACCTGAGTCTAAAATTCATATTTATTTTAATTCATTCCTTCCCTCAGTCTTTTTATCATCATCAAGTCCAACTGGGCTGTGCTAAAGCAGTTACTCTGAGTGACAAACCCTGTTGTGATCTTGGGTTCCTTCCCTCTAGTGCTGTGCATGGAAAGACACGTGCTCTGCTCTTACGTTAGAGATGTAGTGAGGCCCGACCTCACCAAGGTGTCAGCGTCTGTGCAGCGGGTGCCTTGTGTAACATGAAGTGTTGCTACACGTGGTTCAAGCCGAGCTGTGCCTGGGGTGTGAAGTTCCCTTTGCTCCTACTCGTGCCTTGCTTGCTGGCACACACGATGCTGTTACCCACAAGGGTTTGATCCGCTGCTCTTGTGAATCAGTGTTAGTGGAGCTCTGCCAGCCTGTCCCTGCAGAGGATCTGGGCTAGTAGGTCTTCAGACAGCAACTGAGGTTTAGGGAGATAATGCTTGTTTGAATCTCCTGAGGTCTTATCACCTCCTTTCCAAGGGCATCATGTGCTGCTCTCACCTCACTTAGGTCCTTTTCCCCTCCCTTGGTGATTTCTGACACATCTCTCAGCCTTGCCAGTCTGTTGCTGGAGCACCCAGAGCAGATGGCTCCCTAATCTTAATGCTTTGTGTGGGAGCAGAGAGATTCTGTTGAGTTGGTTGTTACTCCTCAGTGAAGCCATAAGGCATGTTTTTGCTCTGCCCTCTCTTTGCTTAATGCGGCTGTCAAGTAAACCCTGTTACCCTGAATCATCCTCACCACGTGTGAAGCTACAATATGGGGTAGTAGCAGTTGTGGGCTCACACTCCCCCCTTACATCTGACACCTTCTTCCAGCCGTTCTTTGTTTCTTGCTTGAATTGGGCCAGGATCAGATGCCAGAGCCAAACGCTTGCTGAGTGCACCCCTGAGGCAGGCCCATCTCTGGATGGTGCTCACCTCTCCCAGGGCAGCGTTACGGGGTGTGGGGGGTGCTGTCCGTGGCAGCACATGAGGCTTTCCTTGCTCCCAACTGCACAGAAAATGGCCCAGCTGCTGATCAGGTTCCTGGAGAGAGAGCTGCAGCCGTCCTGCCAGGTCACCTGCCTGGAGAGCATCCGCATCCTGTCCCGTGACAAGTACTGCCTGGAGCCCTTCACCACCAAGGACGGGCTCCGGACCCTCTCCAGGCACGCCGGCATCGACAGCTCCGAGGAGCTCATCCGGGAGGTCCCCGACTTGGACGTAATCCTGGAGTCCCTCAAGTGTCTCTGCAACATGGTCTTCAGCAGCCCGCGGGCGCAGGAGCTGGCGGCACAGGCGCGGCTCGTGCTGGGCCTGGCCAGGCGCATCAAGCTCTACAACGAGAGGAGCCTTCCCCACGAGGTGAAGTTCTTCGACCTGCGCCTCCT